ATAAAATTGTATCAAAAAATGTTATAAAATCGAGAAAAAATATCCAGATGTCTCAGAACCAGCAAAATTTTACAACATAAGTATGTCCATTACTTAAATCTGCAAATCCGCCTTGTAAATCAACTACAACTTCATTATCATAATATACAGTAATTTGTGCACCAATATCATCACCATTAATAAAATTTTGTTTGAAGATTCCTTTGACACACCATTAAATTCTTGTTTAACAAATCCATTAATGTTTGGATTAGTAGGACATTTTGATCCAAACAATTGGCATGATAATGGTAAAAATGGACTGGAATTTGCATATCTTAGAATCAAAATTATAAAAATTGTCAATGTGTATAAACTGAATCAATGCATTACTGTTAAACGACTTATGTTTGTAGTAGAGTGATTTGTAGGTTTTTTGCTGATAGTCATATTTTATTATTGCGATGATGTAAAATAGAGTGGGAGGTTGTAAATTTTTTTCTTAGAAAAAATATTTACCTTATTTGGTGTAAAATGTATGGAAGCAATAATAATAATAACAATGAAGAATATTTTTTTCTAATAATAATTAATAAAAGAAGGTTTAAATAATAGAAAAAAAATTATTATTATGATTATTCCTCAAAAAATTTAAAACTCTTCCTTTTTATCATGAAAAAAATATTTATGCGAGTAATTAATTAATGATTAGATTATTTGTTAATACGCGTTTCCCAAGTCTTGTTCTCTTGAGTCTTTGTATGATATTTATTGTAGCACATTCATTCAACTAAAAGGGGTCACAAGAATAAAGAAAATAATTATAAATTTACTTATTTGTTGTACAGCAAAGATAAAGAAATTTTTTTCATTGTTGAGCAGCGGAAAATTAATTACCATCTATTTCTTTATCTAAAGATTCAATCGTGAAGGATTAACATTAGAATACGCATGAATGAATAAATTTTATAATTTCTTGAGTGTATTGTGATTTTTTTAGTGTTCCTTTAAAGACGACTGATACCATTATTACTTTATTACTATGATTTAATATATTTACAAAAATACTAGTTTTGCCATGTAACTTCACATGCAAATAAAAAATACACTAGTACTAGTTAATTTCAATGTTAGCAAATCAATTGGTGAGCAGCAATTATTTTGTAAATTATTAATAAGTGAATTAGTTTGTAGTGATTAATTTTTAATGATTAATTTTAATGATTTGAATTTATAATATTACAAAACAATATATACAATAGTTATG